TAGTAATATATTTACCGACAAAAATGGTGATGTGTTCAATACTTATTTTACCCGCTGTATATATACACACAAATTGTTAAGCTTTGTTTATTGAAAACATTTTTCAGATCACGTTCACTACAGTGAACTAAAATATTAGATAACATAGTTACACTTGTTACAAATCTAATTAAGTTTCTCTATTTTTAACCTATTTTGTATGTAGTGCAGTGTCTTCTCCTATCACTCATATATTTGTGTAGCTGCAAAAAAAATCTTAAAATGCTAATGATGTAGCTTTTGTTTCTTAAACAAAAAACTTGGACCAGGGGCTGTACAATGAAACTTTACCAATCTAAAAACCAGAAAATCCATAAAATAACAGTAAAAGACAAATGGTGTAATCATTTAATTGGACTAAAAGTGGTGGTCCAATCTGTAAATTGAAGTATGAGGATATAGAATTTCTCGACGCGATGGAGTCAATCTATTAACACGTTCTGAGACCAACAAGAAAAACTCAAAGGATAATGGAGCAGGAGCAACATTAGTGTTATCTGCTCCCACTTTTAAAAGCTGAATTCCTGCTCTAAGCTCTCTATATAAGACTGACGTGAAATAAAAGTATTTTCTTGTAAGGGGAGCAGAGATTTATAAATGTTATTCCTTGGTAGTGAGGATAATGTGACTTAATTAGTTCAGGGAAAGATTTTGTGTCAGGTGCTGATGCTCTCATGATGTGGTTTTTGTTCCTCGGGGGAAATCATTTTAACCCTCTCGGACACGATCTTGTATGAGCATGTGTGCAGGTGTTTTATATTTGTCAATGTGCAAGGGCAGGTCATTACTGTGCCTTGATGTATAGCAGCAATTACACACACACCCATACACACGTCTGCTTCTAAGGATCCCAAGAAAGCTTTTTAAAGGTGTCCTTGAAAGTGGCATGTTCCCACAGGAGAAAGTCAGACGAGGCATGTTAATGTGTGTTGAAAGGGTCATCTTAGGTTACACAGCATTGCCCATCACACTCGGCGTCTCCCCGTTACCCAGCCAATCACAAACAAGGACTCAGTGATGCAGTTCCCCTCTTACTGGAGGGATTCCGAGGAAGTGCCGTGTGACGATGCTGGTTTAACCAGCTCAGCCCCTCTCGTCTCCCACACCTCCCCCCTTCTCTTTCTTTGCCCCCCAGGTGTTTATTCTTCCAGCCTCACATCAGTTGCATCGGCCGTGTGTGTGTTTGGAACAAATGATAATCTGGCAGCATCCACCCCGCTCCCACAAGACTGGCTTTATAGGCAGCAGACAGTCATCAACCAGCTCTCCTCATCTCTCAGCTAGGCTCCACCTCCCAGTTTCCCTCCCAGCTCTCTCTCCATCCTTCCCCCCCCCTTCTCATTTTCTCACCATCACACACATTCATATACACACCCCCTCTCTCCAAGACTCCCCACTCCGTACGAGCGAGCCTTCTCATCAGAGCTGGCAGTTTACAGAGCTGAAGGTGTGCTGCTGTTGCCAGGTAAGACGGCGCGTTTTATTATTGGACTCTAGAAGTTGCAGAGAAACACAAATGTATTTTTAAGCTGTGTGTTGTGCATCTGTGTGGCACTGATGTATTTATGTCAGGTGGCGGTTTTGCTAGAGTAGCTGGAGTAGTACACTTTGCTCCAACTCCCAGCCCTTCCTGGTCGAACTGCTTTTGCTGCTTGTTTTTGCCGCGCCTTTCGTCGCCATGTGCACTGTAAAGGTTTTTGCGTGGCTGTGTGCTGGAAATAAAGGTAAAGGGTGGAGCGCAGCAGCCAACAGCAAGGCTGCTACATATAGAACACGTCTCTAGTTGCGAGGGGAGACCACTGTGTGGATGTGTGGGCAGATGGAAAGGAGGGGAGGGGAAGACGAGAGAAAGAAGACGAGCAGCTGCCTTCATCCTATAGAAGCTAATCCCTCTGCTTGTTTGTTCATCTCGCTCCATCAGATAAAATGTGCAGCGATGCCTCTGGTATCATGCCCTATTTATTTTTTCCCACTTTCCTTCATCTTTCATTTGTGATTGGTTTATCTTGAGCCGGGAGAGAAGTGGCAAGCTATTGATTCGGAAATGAACTGTAATATTTGAAAAGAGAGCAAGACTTTTCTCCTGCATCAGTTTGTGCTTCACTGTACCTGCTACTCAAATCACAAATATGTATCTTTTCATTTCCACGCCTTTCTTATACAATGAGCAGATAAGATTGAAAATCCACTTTAGTTCATCTAGTAACCCAGGACCTCTGCCATTGTTGCAATTGGTGGAAACCCTCCCTCGCTGTAAAGGAGGCTTATCACCTCCCGCAGGTTTTACTGATGGAGTGCCGATTGGCTCCTGCACAGAGCACATGGAACGAGTGTCTCCAGACTCTCTGCAAACACGTCAAGCAAATCCATGGCGACTGCTGCGCGTCTTCGCTGACAAACCGTTAAAAAGCAGATGGCCTATCACCTTCAATTCCCAGGTTACCTAATAACTCAGAAGGCACGATCAGCTGGTGCACGGGGGCGGGGGAAAGGTAAGGGGAGGGGGTTGGGTTGCTGTATAACCTGCTGTTTTGAATACACTAGACAGGAAGCCTCCTGTGTGTCACACTGTTACCAGGTGAGTGAGAAGGGAGAGCGAGCGACTCTGTGCCCCCCCCCTCCCAAAAAAAATCTAAATGACCCCCTCAGCTCATTTCCCAAGGCAGAGCTTATGTTTACATACTGTGGAGCTGCTCTGTTTCATAACCACTAACTGAGTCAGACAGGCTGGGGATGGTTAAAACATTTTTGGTGGGTTTTTTTTTCATCTTCTTCTTCTGCTTTAATGAGTCCTGACCTGATTTTTATGAGACACAAAGAAGCAAATATCTTGAAAAATCCTCTCATCCTCTGATCATATTTACAACAAGCACCAAGGCAGATGTTGATTTCTAGTCAAATCAAGTGGCCACTCAGCTGTCGCCTGGGGTATTGTAATGTTTTATCAGGCTTGTTAAAAAGCCATTAATGAGAACTACAGGCCCAAAGTCTCAAGCCTGATGTTTCAACAGGGCTAAACTTTTGTCTCGGACYAGTTATCGCGTGTGAACTTTTCAAAAAAGTCAAAGGCAGTCAAAATAAAAGGGRAGCTGCCAGATTTACTTTGCATTTAGCTGGAGACCCTCACATGAGTTTATCAGATAGAGCACTGGAGAAGAATGAATGAAGAGGCATCAGGAGCTTTACACAAACTGTTTTTTTTTTTTTAATATAAGAGCAATTTAAATGGACATAAATAGAATCTCTATCAGGGAATGACTTTGTGTGGCCATTTGGTGTGGGGTGTGTGTGAGCTCGGACATGCACTGATCTGTAACACCGTCAGGACTGCGAGCAAATCACACCGGTTCATGAATCATGATTCAAATTCCATCTAATTCTGCAACGATTGTCCTCCATGACAGAGTACACCTGTGTAATGTCCCTTTCACTGCCTTGGTTTAATCAGCAATAAAAATCAATAAATAAGGCTGCACTAATGGATTACACTGATAATACTTCTACTTTTCTCTGTTGCTTTGAGAAGCAATTTGTGTCATTTTGTGCTAAATATTGATTATAAATTATGATGAAGTTCTGGACCATTACTTTGCCATGGTTACGTTGTATGAAAAAAGTATGAAAAATTATAACCTTGCAATAAAAATGAAAAAAAAAAAAAAAAAACTGGAGTATTTGTGAAATTAAACAAATGATTGAAATAGTTATGTATAAGTGAAAGCACATCTGCATGGGAGGAAATTGGTTTAAATATAGAAATTCAGTTGAGTTTATTAGGTTTTTTCTTTTTTTTCTTTTGCAATGATTATCTTCATGGATTTACAGAAATATGAATTAAGATGCTCCTTATTGAACATTGCAYTAAAAGCAGATTATTTTTTATAATAAAAGTACGGTTAAATACAGCTTTCCCAAGACTTTTTTTTAAAGAWTTGAAGAAATCTACTTTTGTTGACATCACCATTATTATTTATATTCTCTGAAAACACCTCAGCTTATGCATACCATGAAGTGCATCAAAGGTCTTATCATAGTTTTAGTTGCTTAGGTAACGGATATTTTTGTAGTTTAAAAGGCTTGACACTGATTGGCTAATTAGCTTGCTTTAAGTCGGTGTTTTTCTGGGCGTAAAGAACTCAGGACTGCTTGATCTCTGTAAACCCACCAAGATAAAACAGATTACACAATTCATCCACACATGCTGAAGCACCTCCTAATAAATGAACTAAACTGAGGAGGAAAAAGACTTTCTTTGAAAATAAATTACAATTAAAGTAATCATACGAGTAGGCAGACGATGCTTAAAAGTGGTGCTGAATTAATGAGAAATTCTCAGATAAAGAAACATCTGTTTGCCCATAAAAAAGGCTTTATTTCGAATATCCTTGACAGCAGCCATTGTTAGAGAAGCATAAAAACATGGATTTTCAAAACCCCAGAGATTTGCATTGTTGAGTCCTCAGCAATTAGAACCACTTTAGTTTTTTTTCCTAACTTCATCATGCTGCCTGTTCGACAGGGCACGTCTCATGGTGTAAAGCTGCTGAATTTCACACAGCACCAAATGTGTCTATTCTCACAAAAGAACAAAGTTGTCAGGGTTTTCTTTTCTCATTTGTCCAGAAGAACCAAAGCCTTGTGYAAATGGCAGCAATGGCCTGAACTGCCAGCTTTATTTGACTGGTTTCTAATTTACCAGCTGCAGCAAAAACAATAAACATGACAGGATGTCAAAGAATCACTGGCTATAAGCCTAACAAATGATCCAGATTCAGCAAATGTATACATTATTTTCAAATATTTCAGCATTCTAATTTTAAAATTTATAATTTTGTCTATGAATTGAAGTTTTTTCAAAGTGGAGTCGAGGAAAACAGACTGTAAGAAGAGATGCTCCCTGACAGACATTATCTGAGCCAGGATAACATATGATGGTGATGGACGGGAGGTGGTTTAAGCGATAGGAGCAACTGGGAAAATAATTTTAATGGTAAGACTTGCTGACAGTGCGAGCTCTGTAATTTAAAAATTTCCTTTAGGAGGAAATTGCTTTTGCCCTCCTACAACTTTTTTAATATCCTGATTCATACCCAGCACAGGTAAAACGCATCGTCTAGCTGCAGCGTTTCTCTTTCCACTGCCTGAAGGTGATCCATGAGGAAGTTATTGGAGATAAATACCACGAGGGAGTGTGACACCGCTAAGGGACAAGAGACTGCCCTCTGTCTGTTCCCCAGAAAATTCAGTCCTGCCTGTACAGAATGAGCCAATCACAATCCTGCTCAATGAAAATGTGGATTAATTATTGCCAAAAGGCATGCAGGAAAAAAAAGTCCTGGGGCACATTTAACGTCTCACAAATGTAATTAAGTAGCTTAAAAATACTTTTTGTGCAGGGTTGTTTAAACTCAATGTTTAAAATAGAAAGAGGGCATTCCATAATTTACCTGTTAACACAAACTCACAGCAAGAAGGTGTTGAGTTGATATGAAAACAGTCTTATCCTGCCTCTGCGAGTAATGCCTGTAATAATCTTATGAGCTGAACTCCAGCTTTTAAATGTTTTAGTAAATTAATTTTCTATTGATTTAATGTAGCAGATATTTAGGCAGCTGAATCTTGATTAACTTGTTAACATGAACTTCACATTAAGACATTATTTACTTTTATTCATCTAAAAGATTAGTTCTTGGACTTCACCGGCTATTCTATATAAATTACACTGAGGAGCTTAGATGATTTCTGTAAGCTTTTTTGTCTTACTTTACTCCTTTGTCTTTGTAATTATTAACCCTACACTTTAATTTATTAGATTTTTTTAGTTTCACATTGTTCTTTATTTTTTTTGTCTGAAATGTTTATAACAGAGATGACAAAGGAGTAAAATGACAAAAAGCTCACAGAAATTGTCTTGGTGTTCTGAGCTCCACAGTGTAATTTATATAGAATAACTGGTGCTAGTTGAGAAGTCCAGTAAAGAACTAATCTTTTAGGTGAATAAAGTATATTGAGTTGACTCATTCTCCACAAGAATGAGTCGGTTCTTGTATCAAAACCTTTGATTCAAAAGCGTACTGGTCGGCATAAAAATAAGACTAGACATTAAATTGCTATCCTCAGGCCTTCCTTCAAGAGTTTGAGTAAATCAGCTGCAATTTTTAGGGGGAAATTAAGTAATTAGGGCTGGGCGAWATGGCCCAAAAAAGAAATCTCTGATTTTTTTTTTTCATTCCAAGTTCGGTTTTCGATTTTAATTGTTTTTGCTTCCCACTTAACGGAGTGCCTCTGTTTCAGGTGTTGAAACAGTTTTTTGTATTCCTGCTTTTTGTATCAAGAGCCTTCAAACAGATTTTGCAGTGAGGTGTTCGTTGCTCCAAGTCCGAGGATACAAAACCTGACCAGTTCCAGAAAACTGAGAAATAGATCCTCTTTGCTAGCTGCCATATTGRCATGTTGTTTACCAAG